GGGGGGGGGGGGGGGGGGAAGCAAGACACACAGCCTTTTATAAAAGTAATACTCAAATCTAAATTTAAAAAAAGTTCATTGCTTTACAAAAACTGGACTAGCTAGCAAAACCGGAAAGTTTTTCTTAACAGAAGGCCAAAAAAGCTTACTGTGTGTATTTCCATATGATTATACACTTCATATCCCTTAATTGCTAGAGGCAGACGATGTAATAGGATTCAAAAGAAAAAAAAAAGAACCTGGGCCTGAACCACAAAATAGGCTGAGATGTCTGTGTTTTTAAAGACACAAAAGCATCACTCCAACAAACTGTTTTCCTCTTCAATCTATAAATGATATTTAAAATATTACCCATGGCTGGTTATCAACATACACATCCCTCCTTACATTGGAATCCATAGCACAAACAGGTCTTCCCTCACCCACCTCCATCCTAATATTCTTTAAAAAAATTTTTTTTAATGTCTATTTTTGAGAGAGAGAGAGAGAGACAGAGCACGAACTGGGGAGGGGCAGAGAGAGGGACACACAGAGTCCAAAGCAGGCTCCAGGCTCTGAGCTGTCAGCATAGAGCCCGATGTGGGGCTCGAACTCACAAGCCGTGAGATCATGACCTGAGCTGAAGTCGGGAGCCTACCCAGGCGCCCCTCCATCCTATTTTTAAGGGCAGTATGTTGTGTTGGGGAGGCTGTGGGAACGGCCTATGTGGAAGGCCATGGTCACTACAGACCAACCCTGCAATGGGCTGTTGAGGGGGAGGTTCCTGTCCCAGCCCCAATTTGTCCTGTACCAGGACCAGCTTCATAAATGTCCTGGAGCCCCAGTGGGGCCTAAGCAAAGCATGCACAGCTGAGGAAACTTGACCTCTGTTGAGCAACTTTGCAACCATAGGAAGGGTTTTGAAAACAGGCTCCCTCTGCCCCCAGGTCCCCGCCCAGCACAGGAGCCAGGAGTCTGTTCTCAACAGGAGCCCCACCCAATGCTGTTTCATGTTAGATGGGATATGCCCCACTCTTTACCTGTTCCTCCCAAACCCCCCAATGCCCTCACCTGGAAATCAAGGAACAAGCAAAATCAGGAGAGATTGCCAAGTCCACCAAAAGTTCAAGAGCTGTTAAAGAAATGTGGGAAACAGGACTAGAATCCACTCACCTATAGGGTCATAACTACTACTTGGGAATTTGTTATGGAAGAACCATGAAAAGAATGTGGCAGCAATGGGGGCTTACTAAGTTCCAGGGATGTCTCAGAGCTGGCTTGGTAACAAAGAGACAGGCCTGGCTGAACATAATAGGAGTAGGTGAGCAGAGGAGGGGGACATCTTCTCTGGTCCCCAAAAGGGAGAGGGCTACAGGCAGGAAAGGTCAAGGAAATGGAACTCTCCCAACAAAGACAAGTGATAGGTCTCAATCTAGTAAGTGTTAAACTGAACAAATTAGAAAAAATCCTACCATCACACACTATCTCATTTCTCCTCTCTGGAAGGCAAAACAAAGCTTCTTCTTATTCATGGTTTAACTGAATGAACTCAGATCTCTTTCAGCAATAAAACAGACGTCTCATATATCCCCGCAAAAGCAAAGCGGCAGCAATATTTAATTTCACATGTTTGCAAAAACCCTTTTCCTTTATTTGCCGTGCAGGGCTCTTGCCTTATTTTATTTTTTCTTCATATCATATCATCACCACCTGAAATTTTACTTTTTTTGTTTTAGTAAACTCTATACCCAACGTGGGGCTCAAACTCACGGCTCCTAGATCAAGAGTCACATGCTCTACTGACTGAACCAGCCATGTGCTCCTAAAATTTTAAATATTTATTTGGTCATTGTTTCCCACCACTACCAACCAATCAACCAACTCAACCCAACACACACTGAATGAAAGTAATTGTTCCATGTTATATCAACCACATCGAACGCAGCACTGCTTGTAAATTGTGCTTTAATTTCTGCAATCAGGTATGATACAGTGAGATACAAGTATAAACTTTCATACATCCAGAAAATAAAAAGCACATTTATACAGATATAGCCCAACAGCTTATTCCCTTAAAAAAAAAAGTTTTTAATGTAATTAAAGCTAATTTATCTTCAGTGTAAAAACTTGGAGGTATAAACAAACTCAGGATATTATATACAGTAAATTAATGTACATTTCCAAACTTGCACAGTGCAGCATTTTAAACAAAGTAAATGGTCTCATTTCAGTTTTTACTGTTAAGCATAATCCATATCTCAATCTTGAATAAAAATGTCACAATATATAAACCCACTAAGAATTCTGTACACAAATACAAGTTTATAGAAATCTGATTTCAAATATAAATACATAAATTGTCATGACCTCACGTTACAACAGCTTATTTTTCTATTGTAATTTTTTAAAAAATCATAGAAAAATACTTCAATGCACATTCAACTGCTATGACAAGGGCCATGACCTTGTGCCTTTAAACCATACTTTGTGGAGTGTAAAGCATCACACCGGGCATTTTTGGAATGAAAATTACTAAGATTCTAAGATTGAAGAGGCTACTGTATAAATATTCGTGTTATAATATGGTAACAAAAATAGCTCCATAGTGTATCTGGGAGGCAACGGGGCAGAGAAGTGGAGGTTAGTGCTAGTTTAAGAAGGCCCACAGAACGTATGTTAAGGTAGCTCATAGACTAGTGTATTTGCAAAATCCCTACTGCAAGCCTAACACTGAACTCACTAGTGAGACTTAAGGCAACCAAGACCGGACATGTGTTTGGACCCCAATGCACGAATCCTGCCCTCTCCTCAACCTCTGTCATTTTAACAGACCAACATGGCTCATGTGCCAACATGAAGAGGGGAGAAGAGCAAAGCAATTTCTTGTACAAACAGAAAGACAATATTCAGTGCAAACTGAGAAACTTCTTTATCAACAGTTTCAAAATTTCTTATTGCCCTTAAAGAACTGAAGTTTTTCTAAACATGTAACATTCAAATTGGGATCTATCCTGGATAGCAAATGTATATCAAAGGCAAACATTCAATTTGAAACATTCTAACATTAGCTCCCCCCTCCCCCACCTTCCTTTTGTGGGATTTAACAGGGTTCTACTGAGAATGAAAAAACTGGTCCTTACAAAGTGTACTTTCCTGCATTACAAAATATATACCATTTAGACAGCAGATTCAAGAAGGTCACCAGGCATAGTCAAGTTTCTTCTATGGCTTTTTAAATCATTGAGGTACTATATGATAACCATCGCTTCTCATATTTATGCTCAGTTGCTTCCCTATGAAAGCCACGTTCAAAAATGATCCTGCTCATGTCTGGGAGGGCTGCTGCGGAGGTCACAAGCGTTCCCAAGCCTCAGCACACTGTCAGAAAAAGGCAAAACCATTACTTTCAAACACGGAGAGGCTCCAGAAGCATGGAAGCTCCTTCAGGCAAACCAAAGGGATTCCCCCAGTTTAACCAACAGATTCAGCAGCAAGATTCTGGACTACATGCCCCGTGGCGGGGAGCATGGAGGGACGGCAGTGAGGGGTGCCCAGTGGGCAGAGAGAGACCCGGAGCTGTCAGCACACAAAAGGGCGGTGTGGCTGCTTGGCTAGCCCACCAACCCCACACAAAGTGACACAGTCTATGCAGGACGGGGGATGGTTGGAAATGTCAGGATGGGTGCTATGGGTGGAATTTCCCCAGCTTTTCTCAGGCAAGAGGACACAGAAAGGAAAAATACTATGGCTTAAAGGAATGCCATAATCTTAATACCTCTAAGTGAGTCTTTCGATTTGCCATACACACATCACATAAAGCTGCACTTTCTCCAAGCTAAGATGGGTAGACTGGATAAATTCCCAATGACTGGATAAATTATCTTGGCACAAAAAAGATCTGAAGAAAGCATTGAGTCCAGGAGTGTCTGACCAAAGCCCTTTCTAGTAGTAAACCAGCCACTGCAGGTTCTATATAATACTTATGCACAATGGCCACAGTTCTTTTATAGGTCAAGTAGTAACTCCTTCCAATTAATAATACTAGAGATATGGTTTTAATTGCATAGTCTTCAGGAGAAAGAAAAAAACCCACGAGAACCAGCTCTTTTCCTGAAGATCCCGGCTTCCTCCTACAGAGCCCTGGACTAATGCCTGAGGCCTCCCACTCCCCCCACCCCCACAGCAGTAAAGCATGAGCCGCTAATCCGGAGATCAAACATGGTGGACTCCTGCCTCAACCTTCAACGTTCCTCTTTCACATCACTGAGTGGATGAGTCACACATCCCCTAGGTCCACAAACTCGTCTTCTCGTTTGGCCAGATCTTCTTCATCACCCAGAGCTTTCCAGCCGCTGGTGGGCAAGACCGGCTTAGAGGGATGTCGCTGCAGCAGAGCGAAAGGAAACAGGGCCGACAGGCGGGCAGAGCCCCTCAGCAACAAGGGGGCCTCTGCCAGGAGCGCCCCCTGGCCATGGGGTCTCGCGTCGATTTTCTCTTGTAAGCGCTCTACTTCCTCCATCATTTCCAAGAGTTTGCTCACGGTGGCCGCTCTGCCACCGCCCAGGATTTGGGCTTCTGGAATCCAACGCAAGTAGCGCTGAGCCCACACTTTGATTTCTGGCCCCTCAATGTGCGGCAACAACAGACCGTGGTAGTCAGTGGGTTTGCTGTGCCAGCTGTCATAGAACTCTCGAAAGTTGTCGTGTAGCTCATCGGAAGAGTTAATTAATTTGCTAATTCTCTTGCCCAGAAGGTTTTTAATTAAATGATCGGTTTCTTCCCTGAAAAATCCTCTTTTGGGAGATGATTTAGATTGGGTGAGTGGCAAAGAAAGTTGTCGTTGATGCTTTGAGAGAAAACACACAAAAAAACCTCTGGTTAGCCTGAGAGCAGTTACGTTCATGAGAAATCAGAACTGCCATGAGACTGGAAAGCCATTAAAAAGCAGTAACACAGTGGGGGGGGGGGTTCTTATTTGTTCCATGATGCAAATGTTGGATGCACATCGTGTTCATAAACAAATGGGTGAAAGCAGGCACCAGGGCGCTGTGACAGAGAGAGAAGCTGTCTACCCCCCTTCCCCTGGCACAGGAGCACTAAGGCACTTTTGAAGAACAAGCTTAAGTCGAGACAGGCTGTGGATTCAGGGCAGTCTGGATGTCAGGCCTATTCAGTTTTTGAAGAGTGCAAAGTGCTTCTTCTTTGAGAATGAAATTCTGAACACCTGAGAGGAAGCAGCAGCCAACTACCTGAAGATCCTATCACTCAAATGAACTGCATTTGTAGGTTATCAGGCAGCCAGTGGGAGTTTAAGCCTATGTCATAAAGATTCTTTTGGACAGAGAGACAGGTGGGAGCAAAAGGAATTTGAGAAGTGGCTAAACTGGCCAGATGTTCTTGCCTGACATGCTGCACCGAGTAAAAAATGTGAGAGCATGTACATTACTTCCCTCCTGAGTAATTCTACCTGCAGCCAAAGCAAGGTGATCGATACCAAGGGGTGCCAGGGAGGGGCCGTGAAGGTGGGGAAAGATGTCAAGAGGTTACAAAGAACCCACAGAGAGCCCCACAGAGAGGTCAGCAATGTGGGGAGATGCTGTTTCTCCCCAGCTCTTTTGCTCCTGAGGTGTGAGTCTGAAATAAGAACAGACAAGTTTTCTGGGCAGGCTAGCCCTATGACTCTCTAACATACTCCTGCCAGTGGTTCTTCTTTGTGAAAAAGAGCATTCTTTATTATGGAATATAGAATAATAATAAACATATGAGAAAAAAGCAAAACCATCCACAATGCCACAACTCAGAGCTGACCAGGATTTCTGACCTTCCAGCTGGGGGCGGGAGAGCAGCCTGGCCTCTCCTCCCCAAGGATCAAGGCCAGTCCGTCCACACAGGGGACTGCTGACTGCAGGCGGAAGCTAACAGCCACTGAGTGTTTACTGCCTGCCAGGTTTTGTGCTCAGTGCTTTACGTGCATGGACTTAGCCGATCTCCACAGTCACCGTTATTGTCCTGTTTCACAAATGAGGAGACTAAAGCACAGAGGTTAAGCAGTCCACAAAGACCCTGGCTAGAAAGTGCTAAAGGTGGTCTTACAAAAATCAGTCTGGCTCCAGAGACTGCGCTCTAACAGAGCTCCACTGGTCTCGAGAGCCCTTTCTCTCAACCCCTAAGTGAACAGAGGGCTCAAGAAGGGCATGCTGGGAGGGAAGCCTGGTCAAGGCTGAGGCTGAGAGTGCACACCGGAGCAGGCCCTGCAGCCTCATGTGGCTGTTCACAAGCAGTGCTTCATGCTGGTCCGCCACAGCCTCTTAGTTTCTACAGAACTTCTCCAAGGCCGCCTGCCCACTCAACAAGGGGCCCTAAGCCCTACGTGTGGTGTCCTAACCCAAAAGCTTCAAAGTTCCTTGTGGCCCCAACCCCAACTCTGCTTTAGCTTTGGCTCAAACCTCCTGCACCAGTCAGCTCCTAGAGCCTAGGCCATCTGCTCCTAACTACAAGGAAAAGGGACGTATGTACAAGGAAAACTGGATGTAAGTACAGAAGTGAAATCCAGTCTTGCAAAGGGGAACGTCACTTTACTCCCATGCACAATAAGGGATCAGGCCCTGGCTGTCTCTGAGGTCCCCTGCCCCTCTGGCCCGGGGCAGTTCTGGGATCCTGAACAGGTGACAAGTGTGCATGCAGCCACCAGGGGGCACAGCACACCGAAGAAAAACTGACCTCTGGCCAAGCTGTTCCGGAGCTCAGGGCAGTTCTGGTCCAGCTGGCAGGAAAGAGACTAAACCAGGAGGAGAAACGTCCACCCCGGCCCTGAGGTCCCTTGAAAGAGTAAAGCAACAGTTCTAAGTTGTTCAGCAGCTGGCATCTTCTGCAAGTGCGGGCTTTGGTTCACCTGGCCCCCAAGCCTCTTAGAATGGAGCACCTCCCACACCAGACTGGCCAGGCTCCCTGGAGGGCAGGTGGGATCAGAAGTAGGGCAGTGGAGAAGGCAGAGACACACAATGACTTGGGATTCACCACTACCACTTTCCCCTTCATTGGGTCTGGTGGGGGGAAATTCCAGGCCAGGAGAAAGAGCTAGGAAATGCCACAGAAATCATTTGTCATCTAGGGAACTTTGGGATTTTATTAACTACAATCAAGAACATATATCTGGGGGCGCCTGGGTGGCTCAGTCGGTTGGGCGGCCGACTTCGGCTCAGGTCATGATCTCACGGTCCGTGAGTTCGAGCCCCGCGTCGGGCTCTGTGCAGACAGCTCAGAGCCTGGAGCCTGTTTCGGATTCTGTGTCTCCCTCTCTCTGACCCTCCCCATTCATGCTCTGTCTCTGTCTCAAAAATAAATAAACGTTAAAAAAGTTTAAAAAAAAAAAAAAAAAGAACATATATCTGAAGGGATATCCATATTATTTGACACTTGTGATTCACAGCACGGGTCAGCAAATGACAGCCCACGGCCAAATCTGGCCTGCTGCCTATTTTTATAAATCCTGGAACACAGCCGTGCCTATTTGCTTATGTGCTGTCTGTGGCTACTTCTGCACATCAATACAGTGGGGAGACTGGACAGCCCTTAACAGAAAAAGCTGTAGCTACACCTCATCAGGAAAGGTCTTGCTATTGAAGACATGAACCAGTACAGACCGAGCAAATCCCACAATCAATGCATCTTTTACTCTGCTAACCACACTCAGGTGGAGGGTTCACACAATCCCATGCAGTACAACTGTCTTGGCAGTAACATCCCCGGTGACATTTAGCAAATGGTCATGTCTCATCGGGGCAAAGGCTGATTTGCTGAAAGCAAATGATTCTCATGGGCCCTGACAGTTGGCCTGCCACAAATCTTGACTCTTCAGACTGTTTACAGAATCCATATGTCACTTTTTCCTGCCATACCCGGGGATCCTGGGCAGATGAAAGGGGTTAGACACGTGGACATCTTACTTTGAAACGCATTCCTTTCCGCTGGCCTTTGTCCAGTTTTGGCTTTTCCACATAAAGAGGGTTTTTGAGCAACATCTGGGCTTTGGGTTCAAACTGTACAGACCAATCCCACACGGTGAGCAGATTCAAAGGCTTGCTTTGTGTATCCTGGCTTTCCCTGCCCTGCCAAAACAAGCACAGGTCATGACGGCTTCCAGGGAGGGCTGAGGAGAGCAAACACACAATGCCGAGGGGCACCAGAAAGGGCGCTCCTGCCCCGAGACCAAACACTCACGGCTTCCTCGTTTTTAAAGGCTGCGGCCTTCAGTGGTCGTTCATTTAAGACTTTGGGTGGGAAGGGAGAGGGAAGAAGGTCACCTTATTTTCCAGCAGGCCACATGTCAGCCGCTGACGGGCACTATGACACCAACTCTGTTAGGTTATGTCACATTTTATATTTAGGAAACTGAGGCTCACGAAGCTGGTGAGTGACCGGCTGGGATCTGAAACCGGGGCCGGGGGACTGGAAGCCCAGGCTCCATGCCTCCGCTTCACCGAGGAATTGGCTAACGCTGCTCCTGGAGGCCCAGCTCAAGCAAACCCGGGGCCAAGAGGAAGCCGGTCAGAGGCCCTAAGCTTGGTTAGAAAGCAAAACCCCCAGGAGCAAGGCCCTAGGAGAGACTTAAAAGAGTGTAAGATGGAAAGTAAAAGCTTCCCTGCTTTGCCTTGCCTCCATTCTCTCCAGAGTAACTCCAGGCACCAGGCAAACGGAAGAGAATGCTGACCAGCTTTATCAAGGACAGCTTTTAATTCTGCTTAATTCCTCAGCTCCAACACTTGCTCCCAACGTGGACTTGGGCCAGTTCCCCATCCTCTCAGTGCCTTGACTCCTCAGGAATAAGAATATACCCCCCACAGGATGCCGTGACAATTACCAATACCCAGAAAGCGCTCAAAACAGGGCCCAGTATATAGTGTTCTATAAATATTTTTATTATCAAAACTATTGCAATAAACTCATGGATCAGGGCTTCTTTAAGACACAGGTTCCTAAGAGGGACTCTTACCACGTTATCTTTCTGATGAGGCGAATTGAAGAAGAAGGTGCTAAAAATAGGTATGTACAGGCTATCTGACAACACAGTCAGGTAAGTCTCCGTGAAATCAAATGCTGGGGGGTGCTGGTGCACCAGCTGCCAGACACAATCTAAGAAAAGCAGGAACACAGGAACCTATGTGAAAACAAGACACGCATTACTGAGCAGGCACTACAAGGCCAAGGCCAGCTGTCCTGAGTTCAGGGGCAGCCATCTCAACAGCCATGGAAACCACTTCTGAGCACTGTATTCCCTGGGAAACACAGTCGACTCCATCCCACTCCACACAATGAATATGCTCAATTAAAGTCACATGCCTAACCTTTTGGGATGAGCACTGGGTGTTACATGGAAACCAATTTGACAATAAATTTCATATATTAAAATAAATAAATAAATAAATAAATAAATAAAGTCACATGCCTGTGACTAGACTCATTTCAGTATTTGGCAGTACCGGTCTGTACGAAAGACATTCTAGGGCGAAATATGTAAAACCTCATTACTGACCAAACACTGACACATGAGTGTTTGCAACTGATTTTGATGACAGGGAACACTCTGAACCCCAATTAAGTGAAATTGTTATCACCTCCTGAAAGAATTCCATTCTTCACATTAGTAAATCGTATTACCAAAAAACTATACTCCATCACATTGAATTTTGTCACTATTCCCTTCTTCACCCCCACAAGGAGGATGCAGAAGAGAAAGAGGATGGGAAAGACAGCAGAAGCAGCAAAGGTGAGTTTCTAACCTTTTTTTCCACAAGCGTACAGATTTTTTTTTTTTTTTTTTTTAACAGATAGCCTCCTTTACTAGCTTCCCGGAGGCAAGCCCTTTATTGGTAGAGATGGTTTTCTAGGGTGCTTCGTCATTCACAAAGTGTTTATCCTTCTGAGTCATCAGCGAAGCTGTCAGGTGGGTAAGACAAGCCATGTCACAGTCTCTCCCTTATGGAGGCTGTCGAGGCCTCGCAGAGCTCAGAAGAGAGACAGAAGTTGAGAGGCGCCCGGATGGCTCAGTCAGTTAAGCGTCTGACTCTTGATTTTGGCTCAGGCCACGATCTCACGGTTTGTGAAATCAAGCCCCCCATCAGGCTCTGCACTGACAGCACGGAGCCTGTTTGGGATTCGCTCTCTCTGCCCCTTCCCTGCTTGCTCACTCACTCACTCTCTCAAAAATAAATAGATAAGTAAATAATTCTTTTAAAATGGCCACATTGGGGCACCTGGGTGGCACAGTCGGTTAAGCATCCGACTTCAGCCAGGTCACGATCTCGCGGTCCGTGAGTTCGAGCCCCACGTCGGGCTCTGGGCTGATGGCTCAGAGCCTGGAGCCTGTTTCCGATTCTGTGTCTCCCTCTCTCTCTGCCCCTCCCCCGTTCATGCTCTGTCTCTCTCTGTCCCAAAAAAATAAATAAAAAACGTTGAAAAAAAAAAATTAAAATGGCCACATTTAGAAGGAAAAAAAAACCCAACAACATCAATATGTCATTGTGGAGATGCGAAGACATGCTGATATAGCAACTTTATTTCATACTTCATTTTCTGCTCAGTATATCATTAAACAGAGTGGAAAGTATCGGAACCCTACTATATAGTCATGAAAATGGGCTCAGAAAGTTTGGATGACTTCTCCAAAGGATGGGTGAAAGCAGATCAGACTGTATCTGCTCTTGGACTCATTCTCCCTCCCCAGACATGGTCCTTGACAGTCCTATCTTCTCAAGATATCCAAAACATACTCTTCCCCACATAGTATCTGCTCTCTGCCCATCATGTTGAGTCCCATCAACCTTGCAAAGTTCCTCAGAAAGGCAAAGTCCATTCCAAGGGTGAAAATGGTGATTTCCATTCAGCTTGATGGGACACAGATGAGCAGAGACCAGGCCTGAAAGAAACCTCACAGCCTAGCAAGAGAAGCCGCAGTCTTCCAGAAACATGCCAAGACCCTGAGGCAGGAGCCATGGCTCTCTATTCCCACAGCATGCTGCACCATGCTGCTTTCCATCATAGACAGACACGTTCATTACCTGCAGTAAGAACAACCATGAGCCATGCTCCTAGAACACGGAGCTTTGTAGGTGACTTCATTAAAGAAAGTTCACCTGTCTTCATTTTCTCTTCAGCAATCATTAACAATGCGGCCAAAGGAGTATGCAGAGCTGCAGCTGAGACTAGACCACAACGTGGGGGCCAGCTAAACTACAACGCAATTCACACAGCCAGACGCAGAAGAGGTCATGTGCACAGCACGCTATGTCACCGGTAAGGTCCTGGTGTGGGACGGCGTTAACATAAACCTCATGCTTTATTTGAAAAGGCTTATGTGCAAGGGAAAATTTACTTTGTGTTATTATGTGGAATATTCATTTTTTTGCAAGCACTAACTTCGCAGAAATTATAGGAGTCTCTCTGAATTAATTTTTAAGTTTTATAAATCAGTGTTATTCCCATCATGAAATACATATTCCCATCATGAAATGCACAATTTAGAAGAAAAGGCACTGAATCACTTACTAATACCCTTTTCCTCTGGGAAGGATTTCAGTACTGTTTAAAGCATTTGGAGTCATCCAACAGTGAACTGAACATGGCCTTCCTAACAAGCCCAACAGCATGCACTTCACAAGCACCAGCCCGACACCTGAAGACAGGTATTAGAGACCGGGCACTTCTCCGACGAGGACACTCACCTCCTCTTTGTCACTCTGACGTAGATGGTTGCAGCGATCCAGGAAAGAGTGCCCGCCCATGATCCACTCCTTTTGGACAAGGCTCTGGAAACCAATCCTGGTTCTACAGTGGGGGTCCATCATCACTTGCACCAGAGAGGAAACGAGGCAGCAGAGGTCGGAAGCATTCTCCTCTAGGAGGGGCCCAGCGGCAGTGCAAAGAGGCAGGAGAGTATGGAGTATTAAAAAGCCGCCAAGAGTGCTCACCCTTGCACAGTTAATGGTGGGGTTCCCAAAACCAAAGTGTGCCTGCTACGGACAGTCAAGGTCTACTTCCCTGAAGGCGAGGGCCCATGGGGAAAACAGGTAGTGTTCAGACTGACAAACTGCTTCCAGCCAGTCCCGTACAGGTTCCGGCATATGCTGGCACTAAGCACAGATCTGCTGACTGACTGAATAAAACGCAGCACGTCAGATCCACTGTCAGCGTACCGGCATCCCGGCGTGCCGCATAATGAGGGCAGAGCCATACACGTGGTGGCGACCCACTGGCCTTCACAGACCAAGTTCAAAACTCTTCCAGCTGCCGTGTCAAAGTCTCCATCACTGGACTCACTGTTCCAGGGCTCAGCTGCTCCTCAGACTCCCCTCAGAGCTCCTCTCCTCCACTCCCTCTGCTTGGACTCCCTTATTCCCAGCTCCATAGCTCTTTCCTTCTCTGAGAGCACAGAGGTGCCTGCTTCTCCTTGCCTAGCCTGGCGGAGAAACTCCCCTCGGTCTATGTCCACGTGCCCACCCCCAGAGTGCACCGGACGAAACCTGTGTGATGAAAACACCATTCATACACGTGTTCGGCATTCATGACTCCCGGCAAATAAAAGCATACATTTCTGTCCATGCATTTGCCTTAGAGTTTTCAGATCCTAAAAGTTAGGGTCTGCATCCCCGTGGTTTCCTCTTTGCAGAAAGAAGTGCAACTCAAGCTGCTATTTAAAAATGTCCAGCAGGATGGCGGTGCTAGTATCGGTGAAACTAGAGAAACTTACAAATTCTAAAGAGGGGGATGTCTCCACCGTTAAAACTCTTTCATTCTGACCCTAGAACCATGAGGCACTAAGGTCTAGGCTTACGCTTGTGCTTCTTTTTCTCCTCCAGGGAGACAAGTCTAAACTACGGGAACACACGGATTCAAAAGAAACAGAGTTTTGTGTTTGGAGTGTTATCAGCTTATTTCAAGTTTCTTTCTTTTTTTTTTTTTAATTTTCTTAACGTTTTATTTATTTTTGAGAAAGAGACAGAGTATGAGTGGGGGAGGGGCAGAGAGAGGGGGAGACACAGAATCTGAAGCAGACTCCAGGCTCTGAGCTGTCAGCACAGAGCCCGACGCAGGGCTCGAACTCGTGAACCGTGAGATCATGACCTGAGCGGAAGTCGGACATTTAACTGACTGAGCCACCCAGGCGCCCTGAAATAAGTTTTATAATTTTAAGGGAATCATCCTTCTGGCATCTGACGGGTATTAACAGTTAACCTGTAACAGGAAGAAGGACCAGAAAATGAGATTTCAGAGGAGACAACTCAGTCCTTCTTCTGGACCGAGTGACTTCTCACATCTCAGCCAAAGATTCAGATGTTGTTTTAGGCAACTGTAACTACTGCAGCCTGGCCTGAGAACTTCTGCCTCTCAGATTCTGATCTTTATTCGTCCTCCTCTGTACCACTTAGTTCCTCAGTACTCTGTTCTGCCATTGGTGATTAGGTCTTTTTCAATAACATGCTCAGGCCAACTCTCATTAGGCTGTAAACTTCTAGAAGGCAGAAGTATAGAGCTCTGCACATGGTAGGTGCTCAGTCAATATCGTAAAATCCAAGTCAGCGAGCCAGCATCAGGTGGTACAGAAGCCCCAGGCAGACACATGTGCAGCCTGCCCACAGAGGCTAAATTTCAGCAGTCATGGAGCGCGTCAGAGCCATGGTAAAAGCTTGAGGGCATGAAAGCATGAGATGATCTACTGAACCGAAGTGCAGGGCTATGAGAAGTTTAAAATATTCTAAACGGCAAACATCGTATTTTAGCTCAGGTCTAACCAACTCTAGCAATCTTTAAATAAAAGCGGTTTGCACCTGTTTTTACACATTCTGAATGCTTATGTCCTGTCCACATGTTTAGCAAGTTAAGCCCACTGAGGCAAAGGAAATCGTGACCCACAAACTTTCTATAGCGACTGCACAAGGTTGTCTGTCAAACACAAAGATATAAAAAGAACAATTAAACCATTCACGGATTTCTTTATATAAAAAGGATTATCAAAAGATTTTAACTGTAACCAAGTGGAGTTAATATAAAACAAAACCCAAAGCAGTAGGAAATGGAGCTTTGGTGAAGATACCAAACAATTCCTTCTTGGGCTGCAAGTAAGTCTGCCAAGTTCTAAATGAAGGATTTATTTTTAAGCTGTAACACTGAAATCAAATGCAAAGAATTCCAAGGTCAGGGTAGAAAAGAACGGGAAGGATTTCTACACTAGCTTGCTCCTTTTGTAAGACAATTCCAATTACATAAAGCTATATATGCAGAAATTGAGTCTCAAGTGAAGGGAAACGAAAACCACTCTTTGTGCTTTAAATGTATTACCTAAAAGAAGAACGTTCACGTTTTGTGCTTCTAGACATTCTGTGATCTCTATTGCTTTTTTCAGGCAACGTCTACATTGGAAAGAGACAAGAAAAAGGGGCATTAGTTTCTGAGGTTGGCATCAAAACCATGAGAAATTTAGACAGAGGAAACTGAAGATTGAGACACTCTCATTTGTTTTTTCACTTGAAATCCTCCAGAAAAGAAGTTACCATTTACCCTATTCACATACTGCAAGACACTCATCTGCCAATTAGAAACTGAAAATTTTCAGAAGGGAATCCCAAAATTGATGTCAAAACCTTCCTAGGTGATTTCTAAACTACAGTCTCCTATTGAGAACTCATGCCTGAGTCTGGCCGGAGAGTCCTAGTAAGACCCACAAATGCCCACGTCGGAAACTGTGCTGCACGCCCACATGGTCTAATTCAAAGTCACCTGTCCAATGTGTCAGTGTGGCTTAAACAGTCCAACAAGGTCCAGAAATCCCTTCTGTCTCTCTCTGTACACACTATTCCTGATTTTCAGCGTTGACTTTCCTCTGCTTGTAACTAAGGGCTTCACATATGCTGTTCCCTGCCTGCAGGGGCGCCCTTCCTGGACGGTGCTTCATTTGGTGAGGGATGCTCAACCTTCTCTGCCCACCCCCCGTGAAGAAGGGTGCTTTTCCTGGTGACGTTGATCACTGTTGGCAACTACACATTCCAACTATGGGCCATGCAGCAGGCTCTCCGGAACGGATGCGTTAACAAGTGTTTGGGGGGCTGAGGCTCCTTGCCACAAACCTCGCTGGCAGAACCGAGAGATGCAGTGCCAGTTGGAGGCACTGTCCAACTGTGCCTCACAAGTGTCCTAGGGGTGGGACTCTTCTCGCACCCTGATCATTGCTCTTCTGTGCCTCCCTTTGCCCTCTCCTCTCTTTAACAGCAACAGAGAGGAGCTATTCAAACTATGAAGTAGGGAAGGGAATATAGGAATTCTGTCTCTGGGAATCTCAACCTAATTCCCAAACCCAAAATGCCTAATTGAAATTAATGATGGAAATTATGAAAAACCGACATTACTCATTCTAAAATAGGTAATATACACAGGAGAAACGTAATTCAAAAAGGTATTCAGTAAAAAGTCAGCATCACCCCCCTTCTTCCTGTTCCCTTCTTGGAGGCCAGCACTGCTGCCTCAGTTAGACTTATGGGTTGCCACCCCCCTGTTCTGCAGTCTTTCCATGCCTAGTCTATATATAGTCTAGAGAGATCTCTTTGTGAGCAAGTAGCATGTCGATAAATTCAGATCAAATATGCACAGAAATAATAAACAAATGTAAAATCCAGCTGAGCTGTCAATAGAATATGTGATCTAAGAACATCTAACTGTGATGTTTAACACAGTTAAATGTTTAACATTTAAAACAGTTCCATCGTTTGTCAATTTGTTTTACTACTTTGAATTAGAGAACTATAAAATTCATGAGCAAAATGATTGCTTTAAAATACCTGATTATGTCAAGCCAGCTGCTACTTTCCAACAGAGAAAACCATTTTATATCTGTGTCCCAAAATTCGGTACTATTATCTGAAAAAAGAAAAAAGAGCAAGGAAGTCAGGTCACTGTTCTCTTACATGTCTGCCACCAAAAATCTGTGCTACTCAAGTGTGCTGTTCAGTCTTGGACTTGAACTGCAGCATCCAAGCACAGATCTCCATTCTCAAGAAAGGACACTTCCAGACTTCAGCTGAAATGGTGTTTGAACTGTAAGCCTCTGGACGGGGGTGGCAGTCAAAAATGGATTTTTTAGATTTTTATTGTTCAAATAAAAAGTGCCCCACAATATTTATTTAAAGCCATGGTTGACCTTGTGACTCAACAAGGAGAGTAACATGTTTTAGGCAGAAACAGTCGACACCCAGGCTACACTATTCTAGCACTGGAAGACAACAGGATACCTCCTGATGCCAGGGAGCCCAAAGGGGGAGACTTGGCTTCCGCTGGAATCCTAAATACACAAGCACATTTTCCTTGCATACTCCTACACCACACACCCCGCCCCCACACCTTTGGTACAGAGAGCCCTGCGCTGCACGGACATCTAATACAGGTCCAAGCTGCAAACTCAAATCAACGACAAGGCAGATACCTCTCTGCAAGTCCTGGGTGATGAGACGGAAAGTGGTAGAATCACAGTCCTGCACCAACTAGTGAAGACTATACTTTCAAGGATCATTTCTATAGTTTATCACTAGAGAAGTTTCTCTGAACGTGCAGAGTACCCAAAATTTAAGATCTGCAAAAACAAAAAAACCCCAAAAAACTAGGGCAGTGTATCACTCTCCACCAGGTCCCTGCTTTTTATAAATCTAGTTAGAGGTGGACACTGCTGTTTACCTGGGCATCATATTCATCTTTATCTCAAATGCCTCCATAATCGGTGTATATAATGGAAACTCAATAAATGTCAGCTGAATGAATGAATGAATCCTAAGTCATTAGAATTTGCTAGGCTAGAAAGTCCAAGTTAGGAAAAACTGTGACAAATCTCAGATGGTAATACAGATTCACTGAAGAACGAGAATTAATAAACAACTGGGCTGGATAAGTAGGATTCAGGTCCTAAGCTGTTCATAGTGGGTAGCCCAGGCAGAGAAGTAGGGGTGGCCGGGATGGGCATATTTCATTTCCTACTTTGTACATTTCTGCTTAATCAGAAGAAAAAAAAATATTTTCACTTGGGGTGGGGGGAGGTGGGAGGCGGTCCATTCAATAAGCCACTAAGGAAAACAAAACCAATCATCCACTTTATCAATCACCGTGAGCGAGCCAGCGAATACAGGTGTCGCATGGCTCCACAACTTTTAAAGAGAGAAGCCCTTGTGTACACCACTGGGCAACACTGTGCTGAGGAAGGAGAGAAGAGGAGCAGTGGAGGGGTGGGCCTGTGTTCCCTGTCGTCAGAAGGGGCAGCGGGGTAAAAGCCTGGAAGAAAATGGAGGGGGAGGGGGGTGCGTGCGGTGAACGTGGCAATGACAGCGGCCCCTCAGCTACCAGCCCCTCTGCTCTATAACATCAACCCTCATGGTCATGAGCCTCGGGTACATACAGAGACCAGGGAGAAGGTACCAGCTGTCACCTGATCCACACGGCATGTCTTTCCCTATTTGACAGAGAGCCTTTGTTCTGCATTTTTCTCACCTATCAGAAACAGCTGTTTGAATTTAGAGTAGGCAGTCTGGATGTCCTGCAGGGACAGGAAGTTGCTTGACAGGTCTTCAGTTTTAACAATTTCATAGGGTGGCCTGTGGATGGTCTTATAGATTCTAGGTATCAAAAAGTAACAGGAGATTAAAAGAGCAGAAGTCAATTAGAAACAGCTTATTTTTCCCCGAGCACTTAGACGTGGCAAGATCTGTGTGTGTAGGTATCCTCCCACTTGATCCTTGCCAACAAACTAGCTACCACAGGACCACTATTCCCAGTCATTGGAGGTGGAAATGGAAGCACGTGGAACATGTATCAAAGGACAGTGACATAGGCCATGACCTGGATTTGACCACTGTCAATACCATAGCCATCATGCCCTCCCCGCTAAATACCTCAGTGTGCATCTCTAAAAATAATGCAGTTGACATTCTTTTTTTTTTTAAGTTTTATTTATTTAAGTTATCTCTACACCCAACATCGGGCTTGAACTCTACCCCGCGATCAAAAGTTGCAAGCTCCTCTGAGCTAGCCAGGTGCCCCTGCAGTTGACATTCTTAACGATTATGTTATACCGACTCCTTTCAAAATTATGTATTTTTAAGTTTTTTGTTTTTTAGTAATCTCTACACCCAATGTGGGGCTCGAACTCATGAGCCCAAGATCAAGAGTTGCATCCTCTACCGACTGAGCCAGCCAGGCACCCCTCCTTTGAAAGGGATTAAAAATGATCCCTCTCTATGGTATTCCTGAGCACTAAGCTATCAGCAGGTAAACAGGAATGAAGCTTCTTTGGAAAACAAGAACTCGAGCTAACCAGTCACAAAATGTAGAACAGTACTGACCCATCCAAGAAGCTCTTTTGCATTTGTGAAAGGCCATCATCCTGTTCTTTTTTGGGCAGTGCTGACATTTTCAAAAGGGCACATCCATTGTGGCAGGACCAACACCATAACTGCAAAGGGGAAGAAAGGTTTTTCAGTCATAATATACACAATCCAGCGGGAGAAAGGTAAGCTGAGCATTTAAATTCACTCAGGGAAATGTATAACTTGGGTAGGAAATGGCTGAATATTTTCAACTTTGTTAAGCCAAAGACTAGTTACTTACAAAGGAAAACAATGATTTAGTCTTAAAACAAAAACAAAAAAGACCCCCAGGTCTAGACAGTTACGCTCAGACCTGCTTATGGTCTGACCAGGCTTGAGTGCCGGGAGCCTAGATGACCGCATCACCATCACTAGGCTAGTCACCGTGGCGAACCTGCTCTGCCAGGGACTTCATGTCAACTAACTCATGTGATTCTCAGTCACACTCTCAGACTGCAGTGATTTCCTTCTTTCCCCTCTTAAACACTGAGGTTTTCTTTTCTTTTTAATATTTATTTTTGAAAGGGAGACAGAATCTGAAGCAGGCTCCACGCTGTGTATGCAGTGCCTGATGTGGGGCTTGAACCCACGAACCATGAGATCGTGATCTGAGCCAAAATCAAGCGTCGGACGCTTAACCAACTGAGCCACCCAGGTGCCCCGACAGGGGTGATTTCTAATTCCATTAACAGCAAGTAACTGAGGCTTGGAGAGACCAAATAACTTCCTCAAGTTGCATTGAAAGCTGCAGCAGTGTGTCTAAATGCTGTGTTCTACCTGGATGGCAAGAAGGAGGCAGCTCCTGTCAGTAGAGAAAGTTCACACCAGACAGAATGGGAAGCTGGCTACTCAACAAAGGATACCAGACCCGTACATGCAAGGCGCTGCATTAGGTGAAAAGGAGGTGAAGAGGATGTGAAGAGGGCGAGGACAGTGTGTCTACTCCAAGGAGCTCATACTCTCAAAAGGGAAATACATTCACAAACATAATAAAATGTAGAACGTGGTAAATAAGAGAAGAGAATTACAAGGAACCACAAAGGGAAGGCAAAAGAGGAAGAAATCACATGAATGACTGTAAGTGACAGGTTCAGGTGTTCAGGCACTTTTCTGGCTACAGTGGGAGAGTTTGTTTGCTGTTTTGCAGGAACAAAAGGAAATGAGAACTGATCTTGGGGCAAAGTAATCTGCCAGTGGAGCCTGGAACAGAGGACAGGGCAAGCCTGGTTAGGGCAGGTGAGCACTGTGTGGACTTTGTGCCCCCATCAAGGCCTGGTTAAGGGCTGAGAATGGCTAGAGCACAGCCACTGCTCTGCTAACCAAGTCATCAGCCTTAGCTCAAAGATAAAACCTAGGGGAAGATACTTTTTATAATTCTGCCATCCAGCACTGATACCTTTTTGCTATTCATCTGCAATGAATGGTATAAGCCATACACTGGACATGCTAGAAGTCTGGGCTGTGAGGTTCAAGATGAGCACACGGTCCAGGCGATAACTCTGCACCACACTTAGAAAGCCAAGAGGAACTGGCTTGGGGTTACAGGGGAAGATGATGGAATGGGTGTTGGATGTATCAGGTGTCCAGTGCCAACAGGATACCCATGTGCAGCTATCCAGGAGGCACATTAGATGAGGGTTATGAGTTTAGGAGGGGAAGGCAGGATTGGGGCTCTGGACATGGGAGGTGGCAGCCAGCTGATAACGAGCCCGCCCAGGGAGTGAGGGCAGAGGAACATAGGACCGCTCTAGGAAATGCCAAAAAGCAATGCCTCCCCTTTCAGGGCCAGGCCGTACTTTGACTCTTTAAGGTTCCTAATGAGGTGGACGTGTTAGGACACTAAGACAAATCAAAGGGCCCTCTGCTGTCTTCTCCCAATGTCATACTGAGCAACGTACAGAAACCACCACACAGTTTCTAGCCCTCAGCCAAAGGTGGCAGTAATTTGAATGCCCAGGCAATCATGCCCCTAGTTGCTGCAGCTCACTTGGATAAAAGGAGAGACACTCTTAGCCACGACTAGGTGACAGGTTCTAAGAAATTAAGGGTCCGTAATCCTTTTTATCTCTTCTCTTGGGATAGAAAGGTTTAACTCTTGGTGACATTCAACCATAATTCATGTTCTCTTTGGGGCACAACCATACCTGTCTCATCTCTTCTGGGGTAATTCCCTAACTATTCTCTACTTGAAAAAATAAATAGGGATGCCCGAGTGGATCAGTCAGTTAAGCGTCTGACTTTGCCTCAGGTCATGATCTCACAGTTCTTGAGTTTGAGCCCTGTGTTGGGCTCTGTGCTGACAGCTCAGAGCCTGGAGCCTGTTTCAGATTCTGTGTCTCCCTCTCTCTCTGCCCCTCACCTGTTCATAATCTGTCTGTCTCTCTCTCAAAAATAAACAAATATTTTTTAAAAAAATTTTTAGGGGCGCCTGGGTGGCAAAGCAGACTTTGGCTCAGGTCATGATCTCACAGCTTGTGAGTGCGAGCCCCGCGTCAGGCTCTGTGCTGACATCTCAGAGCCTGGAGCTGCTTTGGATTCTGTGTCTCCCTCTCTCTCTGCCTCTCCCCAACTCACGCTCTGTCTCTCTCTCTCTCTCTCAAAAATAAACATTAAAAAAATTATTTTTAATTTTTTTAATACTCTGAAAATAGATAATAAAATAAAAGCAAAAGCACTAGGTATTGTTTTTAAAAATAAACAGGAAACAAGCAAAATTTTTAATTTTTTTAAGTTTATATATTTTGAGAAAGAGAGAGAGCAGGGGAGGGGCAGAGAAAGAGACAGAATCCCAAGCAGGCTCCTGACTGTCAATGCAGAGCCCGACATAGGGCTGGAACCCTTGAACCATGAGATCATGACCTGAGCCGAAATCAAGGGTTGGATGTTTATCCAGCTGAGCCACCCATATGCTCAGAAACAAGCAAAATTCTTGGTCAAAGACATACTTCTCATAAGAATTTAACAAAAAGCATGTCTTCTCCTATTGTAATATGTATGATTTCTGTCTGGGTTCTTAGTATAAAAGTCTTGACAACAGACAAGAATCACTCCTTGTTAATCCTGTTTACTTTTATTATTTAAAAAAATATTATTTTTATTTTTAGAGAGGGAGAGAGTGAGGGGACAGAGGGGGAGGGAGGGAAGGGCAGAAAGAGAGAGAGTGCGCACGAGAGTGTGCAGGAGAGCAAGAGAGCGAGAGAATCTTAAGAAGGTTCCACACTCAGTGTGTGGAACCCAATGTAGGGCTCAATTCCATGACCTTAGGATCATGACCTGAGCCAAAATCAACAATCGGACCCTCAACCGACTAAGCCACCCAAGTGCCCCTATTCTGTTTAACTTTGAAGAGGGAGAGGGGGAGATTATTCATTATTTGGTACATCTTAAGGTATCTCTCTTAGTAGAGCCAAAGACAGAGCTTTAGGGGATCATCTACAACTGGACACCAGTGTAAGAAAGAAGGAACTATTAAGGAAGTCAGAGGACCAAGAAAGCACAGTGTGTCCAAAGCAAGACAGGAATTTAGAAGCAAAAAAAGAGAACATAATTAGGGTCAAACCTGCAGCGATGGGGAAGAGAGGTGGCGATACACAAGGCATAGTGACTTCGGGAAGGTCCTTCAGCAGAGTAGGGGGTAAAAGTCACCACGCAAGAAGAAACAAGTAGAGAGACAAGTAGGGGCAGTTAGTACACAGTCTTTTATTTTTTAACGTTCATTTATTTATTCTGAGAGAGAGAGATGGAGATAGTGTGAGTGGGGAGGGGCAGATAAGAGAATCCCAAGAAGGCTCCTCGTGCAGCGCAGAGTCCAACATGGGGCTCAATCCCACAGAACTGTGAGATCATGATCTGAGCCAATCAAGAGTCAGATGCTTAACCAACTGAGAAACCTAGGTCAGTAGAGTCTTGAAATATGTTTGTCGGAAGGAGAACAAGACAACAACTTAGCTCTTCAGGAGGGGCTTCTTCAGGTTAGGGAAAGCTTGAACATGCCTTCAGGTAGAGCAGAACCATGGAAAGATCCACGTGGAAGGCGGAAGACTGATGGAAGCAGGCTCCAGACAAAACAAGGGCAGATGAGATCAAGAGCCAGGCAGATGTTTAGTTAGATTCAGGATAAGGAAACAGGAACACAGAAAAAAACAACAGGAGGTGAAGGAGGAAGCTGAGGGAGGAGGTCTTGTCGCTGATTGTCCAAGATCCCACAGAAGTGGGGGAAATGTTGTCTCTCAGTACAAAAGTTAAGACTGGAATTACAGGGGGGGTTGCCTGGGTGGCTCAGTCGTTTGAACAGTCCAACTCTTGATAGTGGCTCGGGTCATGGGTCTCATGACGTGGGATTGAGACCCACGTCAGGCTCTGTACCCAGTGTGGAGCCTGCTTGGGATTCTCTCTCTCTGCCCCTCTTGGACTTGGGCTTTCTCTCTCTCTCAAAATAAATAAAGTTAAAAAAAAAGAAGAAGAAGAATAGAATTACAGGGGCACCTGGCAGGCTCAGTTGGAAGAGCATGTGACTCTGTGACTCTGGATCTCAGGGTCATGAGCTTGAGTCCCACACTGGGAGCAGAGATTACTAAAGTAAATAAAACTTAAAAAAAAAAAAAAAAAAAAAGAATGGAATTTACAAACTTAAAAAGAATGTAAAGATGGTTTACACCAGCCCCAGGGAAGAATGATACAGGATCCAAAAGGAGTTAAATAACAGACTGCTGAGCCAGAACAAAGGCCCAACAGAGGCAAGGTAACATGGCTTTCGCATATCCCATTAAGGAACACTCTGCTGTTTGGTTTGAATCATCTTTAGCAATGTTCACTAGCCCCACGGCCAGAAAATATACTCAGGGGCTGGAGAACAGCAGAGGGTAGAGGACGTCAAAGTCGCTATTAGAGCAAGGATGTGACTGAATTTACAAACGATGTAGGTCTTCACTGAAAATAAGTGAAGGCAAGAAAAAAACAGACTAGCTGAAAAGTCAGGGTAAAAAAAGCATGGAGATACGCAAATGTTCTGGAACTAGAAAGCAGTAACAGTTGTACAACATTGTGAATACATAAATGCCATTAATGGCAAATTTTACGTGATATGTACCGAGAGCTCTGTGTTCCCTGGGTAAATGTGAAAATTCCATTACGTACAAAATGTTTCTGCTGTCCGTTCATGCAAACTCCACTAACAACTTCCAGGACATATCATGAAGTCAGATCTGAAAAAGTGAGAACACTTTCCCACTGTTTCTATCAAAGTTATGTTGCTGGTTCCCCACTCAGGTCTTAGCAGAACACTTCCTACTCCTCAGCCTGAAGGCCTGGCTGGAACACAGTATCAAAATTTCATACAACGCCAGGTGGAAAAGCAGCCTGTTTGCACAGGTGCGGACAATTCGTATTTGTTTCTTCCCACAGAGCTCACCTTCTTTCCCTAGATCCATCTCTGAAAGGCTGAGAAATGAAGACGTTCATTTTCATCCTTCTACAACAGCAATTCTTAAAATGTTGAGATGGAGGCATGGTGGGGGGTGGGGGGGGG